GGATTTTTGATAAGATTTAATATAGTTTTGCCATGGTTTCAGCAATTACTAAGGAGGTTTCGCCCACAACCTTAGGTACTGTATAAAGCCAACTATATATAAAATTTAAAGGTTTGAGTAAGCAACTAAAAATATTTATGATGTAAAAATGGTTGTAGAATTGATTTTATCCAAGAAAAATACAAATGTTATTTCTATTTAGTTTTGAATAGTTACTCTTTTTAAAATAAAATAAAAATTATCATGGTCATATAATTTTCTTGACTCATGTTGGTCACATGAGGTAATGTCAGATTCTCAAAACTCCTGAAAATTATAATGTTTATTATCACCACAAAAACATATTAATGATTGGCAATTTTTGCAGTTGTTTCACAGATTACAAATTAATATTAATTGACGATCTGTCTATTAATGAGAGACATGTCAATTAATTTCATATAAAATCTTGGGATAATTGTTGTTAATAAAATAAGAAAATTCACAAATCTCACTGTCCTCAGATGTTAACTCTCATGTATACACAAAAAGTATAAAGAACAGCCTTAGAATTCTTTCAAGATCATTGAATACTACTTTAAAATTCTTTTGGAGTTATTTATTGACTTGACTTATAACAACATGTGGTTCATTTGGCAAAATAAAGTTTTTTTGTTAATAAACTGATAAAAAAAATGTATAGCTCTGGTCAGAATACTTGATATAGTTGGCTGAAAATTAAATTTTTATATGTTATGAACTTCTTGAAATCTCAGCTTTCTACATATAAATATTTTCAAGAAACATTCCAAGCCCTTTAATATTTTGATACAATAATCTATGAGATTTACTTTATACATACATAAAAAGAATAAAGTTTGTAATACCAAAACATTGTGCATTATTATTTGTTAAACATTGTCAACTGATGATTTTTTACCATTTTTGCCTCATCAATCACCAATAAATTCTTTCATTCATTCGCAGATTGGCAATTAATATATATTTTAAAAAAATAACAAATGATTTGCCTCATTTCTTCCATGAATTTTTACAAACATTTTTGAAATATTGTATATGATGATTTAATATGATGAGGTGTATAATTTTCTGTAGGATATTTTTTTGTTTATCCTGTGAAATGTATCCTTATTGCCTTTTTTATACCAGTTGTGTGACATGTCCTTTCAAATTATTTTCTATTAAGATAGAGTTGTTACACAGTACATCATATGGCAAAAAAAAACACACGACCACAATTTTAAGTTTTGAACAAATAAGACTTTTTGTAAAATTGCGAAACTTAAACGAAACTTTGTACATATACTCTCTGGGATTAAAACTATTGAACAATGTGCTTTTAATAACTTTTGTTAATAAAGTTTTATAGTTGGCTTGGTCTAAAGACCTCCTAAATTTTGGGCAAATTTTAAAAGTATAGAAGTTACTTTCTCTCCTACCTTTTAAAAAATAGCTCTATTAGTTGATAGTATATGTCTTTAGTTTTAATGTAATAGATAGATTTTCTCAAAAAAATTATTTGTTGTAGAGTTCTATTCTTTTTTAAAACATGTACTTTACTATGCTCATGAGGAATTTGACCACTATGATCATTTCTAAATTTAGGAAAAATATTACCAAATTTAGACTAGATATTGACTATCGTATCTAAATTTTGCAGTAAGAAAACTAAAATCAAGTGAAGTCCTATTTTTTATTACATTTTTGAACGAATTACAAAATTGCTATTTTGAAATTTGGCCATATGGCGCAGCACTAGGAGGTCTTTAGACCGAGCCAACCATAGTGAATGCCGTAATTAATTTCTACTTTCTACCATCAAAATCACCAAACCAATTTGGGCTGCATGTATATTAAAGACTAGTGCCGTAATCCAAAAAAGGAAAAAGTATGGTTGCAAAAGTGGTCGCAAAGGTAATTGCAACC